AAAAGCAGCTTCAAAAACAAAACCCCATCAGTGGCTGCTCACCGCAACCTGCAGCGCAGCTGGCGGTGCTGCTGGGGTCGCCGCGCACAGCGCCCCCTGCCCACCCGCAAGGCAGATGCCTTCCTCACTCCAATCCAGTCTGTGCACACAAGTCCCTTACTCCCGAAGATTGAACCCAGGGCCTCTCCAGCTACCCACCCCTTCTAGTTTGGCTTGGCTTTTTTTTTTTTTTTTTTTTGCCAGTCTTGGGGCTTGAACTCTGGGCCTGGGCGCTGTTCCTCAACTCTTCAGCTCAAGGCCAGCACTCTGCCACTTAAGCCACAGTGCCACTTCCGGTTTTCTGGTAGTTCATTGGAGGTAAGTGTTTCATGGACTTTCCTGCCCAGGCTGGCTTTGCACTGCGATCCTCAGATCTCAGCCTCCTGAGCAGCTAGGCTGACAGCTGTGAGCCTCCTGTTCCTCATTTAACCAGGCGCCTGATCCTGGTGCTCCCACCAAATTTCAGAGTGGCCTGCACAGGAGACATCTGTCTGCATGAATGCCAGCCACAGCTCTACCCGAGACAAAGCGATATTTCTGAGAGGCGGACAGGCTACCCTGCTCTCCACCTGGCCAGGCCTTTGTCTGCATCCAGTAAAGCAAAAGAAAGCTGGTGGACATTCAAAAACACTAGCGCTTGAAGCAGCTCAGAAATGCCTGAACAACTGTGGCTATGGTTTAAGAAAGAAAAAGTGTTGCCGGGCACCGGTGCCTCATGCCTGTAATCCTATACTCAGGAGGCTGAGATCTGAGTATCGAGGTTCAAAGTCAGCCTGGGCAGGAAAGTCCATGAAACTCTTTATCTCCAATAAACCACTAGAAAACCGGAAGTGGAGCTGTGGCTTAAGTGGCAGAGTGCTCAGCCTTGAGCTGAAGAGCTGAGGGACAGCGCCCAGGCCCAGAGTTCAAGCCCCATGATGGACCAAAAAAAAAAAAAAAGTGTAGGTTGGACACCAATGGTTCACACCTGTAATTTTAGCTCCTGGTGAGGCTGAGATCTGAGGATCACAGTTTGAAGCTCGCTCAGGCAGGAAAGTCCACAGACTCATCTCCAATTAACCATCAAAAAGCCAGAAGTGGAGGTGTGGCTCAAGTGATACAGCACCAGTTTTGAAAGAGAAAGCTCAGGGCATCACCTAGGCCCTGAGTTCAGACTCCATTACAGGCACACACACTTGGTACTCTAGTTTTCTTTGAAATGGGGTACCACATGTGGGATTGAAGCGATGCCCCGGGCTTTGGGGCGCCTCTGCCCCTCTGAGGTCTGGCCACCTGGGCTCTTGTAAACAGCAGATGTGTAATTAGAGACCGCAGGCCAGGCCAGGCGGTACACAGCAAGCCTTGTCCTGCATCTGCCCGCGCAATGGTGGGCCTGGAGCGGGAGGCCCCGCCCCTCCACTCAGCCAGCTGCAGGACTGTCAGACCCAGGCTGCTCAGCCAAGAACTCTGATCAATTACAGAGCAGAAACACTGTGTACAAGGACACTAGTTCATCCAAGAACACGAGGCCAGCCAGGAATGCAAAATATACCAAGTCCAGCTTCCTGCCTGCTCTGCCCCAGGCGCCGGGACGGAGCCAAGGAAGGCTTGGCATCCAGGCCAGAAGGCGGGGCTCATGCTGGCTTTCACAAGAGAGGAGGGCGCCACGCTAGGCTGTCATGAAGGGAGACCAGACTGGCAGGGAAGGCATGGGGCTGTGCTGCTCACAGGTGTGGATCTGAAGTGACACACACAGAAGGAAGGCGCAGCCTGGCTCCTGTGCATGAGCTCCGAGGCGATGACAGGCGGGGCTGGAACTCAGGGCCTGGGTGCTGTCCCCTAGCTTTTTCGTTCAAGGCTCACACTACCACTTGAGTCACAGCTCCACTTCCGGCTTTTTTAATTAGAATCTCTTAGATGAGGGAACAGATGACACTGTATGAAAGGAAATGTACTTATTACCTGATACATGTAAAATGCAACCCCTCTGTACATCACCTCTATAATAACAAAAGATAAATTAAAAGAAAAAGTCTTTTGGACTTCCCTGCCTGGGCTGGATTCGACCCTGATATTCTGGTCTCAGCTAGGAGTAGCTAGGATTACAGGTATGAGCTACTGGTACCTGGCTGTAGGCTGATTTGGGTTCCTAGTAGGTGTCTAAACTTACAGGGCAAGAGCTTGCAGCAGAAGACAGGTACAGGGAGCTGGAAGCCCAGGTGGCAGCAGCAATCTTTGTAAGCAGTTGCTGACTTGAACTTGGAACACATTCCTTTCTCTCCTGTCCCAGCCCCTTCCCCACACCACAGCCCCACCTGCCACAGTGCTGCAGAGCTGTGATGCCTGAGACTCTTGTCAGGCCCAGGATACACATATATGTGTGCTTGCAACTCTGAATTCCAGGTAGATAACACGAAAGCAGGCAAGCTTGTTTAAACACGTGCTGGACTAGGTCAGATTCCTAGTGACTTAGGTAGAAGTTGCTAGAAGTTTGAGCGGGCAAGTAACAATTCTCACCCTCACAACCATTCAAGTACAGCAGACAGAGCTAAACCAGATGGACAGGTGTGAACTTCCCAGTTTCTGCTCCTCTCTTTCCCCAAATAAAAGCCCCCAAATGGCTCCTCAAAGTTGACTGATTCACAGGCAGAGGGAGTGAGCAAAGGAGCCGGGACATTTTTATCAGATGACCTTGTTTTCTGCTAAGAAAGCAAGTCCCCAAATACATTTTGGTTTGAACAAACATCATCATCATTTTTGTTGGTTATGGGGCTTGAACTTTGGGCCTGGGCACTGTCCCTCAGCTCTTCAGCTCAAAATTAACACTCTACTACGGAGCCACAGTGCACTTCCAGCTTTTTCTGCTTATGTGGTGCTGAGGAATCGAGCCCAGGGCCTCATGCATTCGAGGCAGGCCCTCTACTGCTGAGCTACCTTCCCAGCCCTATTATTATTTTTAATGATGAGAATAACTCAAAGCATTTTTTTTTTTTTTGTCGGTCGTGGGGCTTGAACTCTGAGCCTGGGTGATGTCCCTCAGCTCTTCAGCTCAAGGCGAGCACTCTACCACTTGAGCTACAGCGCCACTTCCG